GATTGGGCTCGTGATTGGTATTCTAGCATTCTGCTTCGCTACTTGTACTACGTGTGTGAGGTCAGTCCTTGTCAGGTCAGTCTTTGTATCTAAGTCTTCCCTGCGCTATTCAGCACTTTTGTATGTATGAGAATGCACATTGTCTGTCGAGATTCTACTCTCACCGCATTGTCCATTTCAGTCCTTTTTATCACACTGCAGTTCCTCGGTTATTACGAACATCACATATCTGTGCATGTAACAGCTTCCAACCAAGATGCAACTTACTGGTAGTGCTGTGCATAGCATTGTTGTATAGGCTGGCGATGAGAGGTTTCTCATCCCAGTCATTTTGACTTGGCTTAATATAATGCTGAAGCAAGTGCTGCACTACATGGTTCATCTGTTCGGCCTGCCCATTTGACTCAGGGTGGTTCCCTGATGTCATTTGCAGTCAGGTGCCCATCTGTTGGGCTGTATTTTGCCACAATTCGCTAGTGAATCTCACATCTCTGCCGCTCACAATAGACTCGAGGAGACGGAAGTCACATACCCAGTTGTCCATGAATAGCTTGATGATGTGGTCAGTCCTAGCTGTCTCAGGCATAGCGATAAGTCTAGAATACTTACTAAACCTGTCCGCAATGATGAAGATGTGTCTCTTACCGCTCTTGCTGGTCACAAGAGTATCCATGAAGTCCATAAACACACTCTGACCAGGTCCACTACTGATAGGCAAGGGCTTGATAAGCCCAAGCGGTGCTTGCGTCCTTGGTTTGTCACGGTGACAAACCTGGCAAGTCTCGACATATGTTTTCGCATCATCCAGGGTATGTGTCCAAACATTGTCAACAAAATAAAGACTGCAATTATGGCTTGCTCAACTACTAGTCTCAGGTTAGCGAAGCCATAGGTCCCCCACACGGCATCCCTGAGGTTCATATACACGGCCATTTTGTCCCAGAGATGCGCCATAGGGGGTAGACACCGTCATTTGGTGCGTGGTGCTGCATCAACCTCAGACAGTCCGCCCTCTTTCTTACTGCTGGAGCTATCTGCCCCATCCAGCCATCCTTCGTCCGCAACTCTCATCTCGTACGCAACTAAATCTTTCACAGCTTGGTCCTTAACGACGAGCTTGATGCTTCTACTCTTGCACATACGCTTCAACTCTGGGACCTTCTTTGCGTCCAGATTTTGCCTGAGCTCTAGTACGAAGTCAATAACCCCATCCTTAGAGCACGATGCTACCGCCCCTTTCTTCTTGTCTGTGTCTGTCTTCTCTGGGATCCTTGGAGTGCGGGTTGATGCTGATCTCTTCTTCGTCACTGGGGTTGTAGCAGCCTCCCCACTTTCAACAGGGTCACACTCCACCTCCTCAAGTATCAGCTTCCTTCTCAAACCAAGGTTTGCACTTCCTCCCTTCCTACCAACTTCCCTGTCCGCTGACTGGTTCACGTACCTGTGTAAACCGTCAGACATCCCCGCACCCTTCTCCGCGGAAAATGGCAGCTGTGTCTCTAGAGTGTGCTGCACCTGCTGTTTAATCCGTTCTTCTATTTGCTGCAGCTGCTTGCTAAGCATGCTGCTACTAATTTGTACATCTTTCTCAGCTACCATTGGTAGTCTCTCATCTATTGTCGACTGCACCTGCCAATTGACCCGCTCTTCAAACTGCTGCATTTGTTTCTTCAATGCTTGGGCTGCTCTCGCATCGAGTAATTCTTCCAGCCTCTTCCGTTCCGCTTCTTCCCTCAGCCTCGCTTCCTCATGCTTCTGCTTCTCCTCCTCCAAGCGCTTCTTTTCTAGTTTGACTCGTTTCCTTTCCTCGACTTCCAACTGCTGCAGTTCCATGAGGCCAAGCAGCCTGTTTATCTTTTCGTCATCCTCAGGCTTCCTCGGCCAGTTCTTCTGGCTAGCGTTATACATCTGTCCACCCTGCCCGTATGCATTCTCTCCACTGTTATTGTACGAGCTACTTTGTTGCTGTGTCACTCGCCAGTTGCGATCGCTTGGTCTGTTCGGACAGTCCCTAGCGTAGTGCTCGTAATCCCAGCATTTGTAGCATTGGGGGCCAGCCGGCGCATGCGGGACAGAGGTATTAGGATACCCTGGGTTTGGGGGAGGTGGGGGAGGAGGGAGAGGAAGAGGAGGAAGTTGCGCCGGTTGCATCCTGCGTCGGGGTTATACTACGACTACGAAAAAACAGACAGATTCAGGCAGACAAGTTCCTGCCACTCACTACGCTACGAAAACCGTAACTAACTTCGAGTTTCACCGACTGCTTGAAAACAAATACAACTACTTCCTCCTTCAGGCTGTACAATCGCACTTTCCTAACTTATACTCCTGCCTGTACACTCTTTCCAACTCAGCTATGCATGAAGCATCGAAGAGCCGAAATACAAGACCAGCCTCCCTCGCACGTCTTCCAGCAGTTCTACCGTGCAGATTCACTACAAGGGGGTTAATAACACTATCGAGTTGCACTCGTGTCCCTGGTAAGTGGCACGTATACCGTAGGTACGTACTACGTTCTAGTTCAGGTAGGACAACAACTACACCAGCTTCTTCATTTAGCATTCTCGTGCAACGTTCCTCAGTTCAATAAAGTTGTTCGCCTAACACCAGCATAGATGACGAGGCTTATCCATGTCTTGTGTAGGCGGCTAGTGTAGGCGCGGGTTTCATCAGTTGCACTTCCGCGAGACAATCCGTCGACGACTCCCTTCTTCTGCGCTACCTCTTACCCCTTATTCCACTCTCGGGTACGTATCCGCTACCCGCTCTTCTTCGACTTCAAAGCTGTATGCCTCACCCTGGTCTTGCGATCGATTCCTAGCTTTGCAGAGCTCGTACCGCCGTGCGCCACAACGTTCCCCACTCTCCGTCAACTTCCAACATTCACGGGAAGTAAACCCGTCGGTTATTTCCCCGCCCTTCTCTCATTGACGGCACTACTACACTCGTCATACGTCACTTCTATCGTTCTTCATCGGTTTCCCTCCCGGGGGTCGCGCCAGCAAAACCTTGCTTGCACGCTAACTCGTACTCCACCCTCCGTCAACGCTGGTGCTGAGCGCAACTTTCCTCCCATCTGCGGATCCTGCATATATCGCTCCTGTCAGTTCGCCACCTCTAGTCAACTTACCTCCAATAGTTCTTTACCGTTAAAACTTAGCACCAGACCAGAGGTGGATTTTACACCTCTGTACCGTTAAAATTTAACACCAGACCAGAGCTGGATTTTACACCTCTGTACCGTTCAAATTTAACACCGGAGGTGGATTTTACACCTCTGTACCGTTAATCCACCTGGATTTTACACCTTGCTATTTATGGACGTCCGAGGTGGACTTTACTTCAGCTGTGTAGGTAGGTAGGTTCAGTGTGCTCGAGGGACTCCTCATCGCTGAATAGAGTGACGTCCCTGAGCTCAAGGCCTGCAGGGCTACTGGGGGCATGGTGCACCTGAGCACACACACGGCGCTCAGGTGCTCCTCAGCTTGGTTGTTCCATTCCCTTATACTACCTGCTGCTTTTACTCCGTGGCCATCTGTCTGCATTCTGGACATGTTGGCCATAGCTCCACTAGACCACACTCTGAATGTATCTAGACAGCAAAATGGACAAGATAAATATGAGCTGTTCCAATATCTCAAACGTATCGGGGACCATTACTGGCTTCAGATACATTTAGAATGTTGTGCAGTGGAGTGAGGCCGCTTGGCAGACGGAGGAGGAGGTGATGAAGGGGCAGACAATCCGGAAGAGCCAAAAATAGACCGCAACGGCATTGTCAAAAAAAAAAAGCAAAAAAAAGGAATAACAGAAAATCAGACAAATCGAACAGACAAGTAGCACCACCTATGCATGAGATTTGAAAAGCGAAAAAAAAAAACACAAAAACAAAAAAAAAAACTATGCATGAGATTCGATTGCTAACTTACAAGTAACGCCAGTCCGCAAATGTGGAAGACAAAACAGAACGTGAGTGTACCTTTCCACCTTATACCTGAAGATACACTCACCGTTTCTCTTTTGACAGATTCAACGCATTTGGAGAGCATGCATGAGATTAAAAACAGAGGGAAAAAAAAAAACTATGCACGAGATTCGATTGCTAACTTACAAGTAGCGCTAGTTCACAAATGGGAAAGACCAAAAAGAAAATGGTGAGTGTACCTTTCCAC